AAACATTACAACATTATACAACAGAATATTATACAGCAGAAAACAGAAGAATATCATAAAACAAATAAATAAAAAACAAAACAAAAAATAAGAATATAACCAGATTAATTGTGATTTCCAAGCAGGTATGTACTATGTTTTTATACTGAGTTGATAAAGGTCAGTGTTGAAGTTAGCGTACTGAGCTTCAGTCTTTTTTGCAGTTTGTTCCAATCATTGGGTGCAGCAAAATGAGATGTGGAATGGTCTAATGATGTACAAACTCATAGTGACGAATTTATTAGAATGTAAAACATTTTATTTGTTTGTTTTTATTTAATCCTTTATTTTACCAGGAGAGAAAACTCATTGAGATGAACAATCTCATTTACAACAGTGCCCTGGCCAAAACTGACAACAAAAAACAAAGTTTCATAAAACAATAACAACAACRTGYGAGTATTGTTGGAAATGTTGATGAGTGGACGAAGGTATGGATGAGTTTTGTCAGTGATAGTTTTATAGATGAATTTGTACCAGTTTAATAGTCTGGTGAATGGAGCGATGTTCACAAGTGAGTACAGATGACAATGGTGGGTTTAAAAGGGGCACCAGTAAAAAAACTGATTGCAGAGCAAAAGATGACATCCAGCTTATGGAAAAGAGTTTAATGTGCAGATTTGTAGATGACATCATCATAGTCAATGATACAGTGGATTGTCAATTTGACCAAACTGTGCTTTACAGAGTTACTGAAAGATGATTTGCTGCAAAAAAGAAAATTGTGTCTTGGTTTATCTTTTGAGAAGTAATATATTTATCTGAATGTCAAAAGAGAGCATACGGTCAAGTCATAAACATAGGTATTTAAAATGAAGTGATGGGTTGAAGTGATAAAATATCCTAAAGTAAAAATGTTAATGTGGGAGGGGGTCTGAGATACATTCTGGCTAAAGATCATGTAATTGGTTAAAAGAAATTATGTAGTTTAAAAGAAGGGGAAGGTTGGAAAAAGCATGTTGCAGCTGTTGAAATTGTTTGCAAGTTAGATATTGCTGTGTTCAAGGTGGATATGGTTGAGTTAAAGGTGGATATGGTTGAGTTAAAGGTGGATATGGTTGAGTTAAAGGTGGATATGGTTGAGTTAAAGGTGGATATGGTTGAGTTAAAGGTGGATATGGTTGAGTTAAAGGTGGATATGGTTGAATTCAAAGTAAAATAATAATGTAAAATCATTAAATGAGACATATGATTTAAAATACTTTTCATATTTAAATAATTTAGTTAAGATCTTAATATAGTGGAACTGCCACCATTGTTTTAACTCCACAAGCCCCCCTTTCACTGCTTTTCTCCGGTGTGTCTCCGATCAACTCGTATTGATACTGTCCCTTTAAATCTGAAGTGGCATTTCACACTCTGCCCCACCTCCAACTTCCAGACTGATTAATTTGAATTTGATAGAGGGGTTTACAACTAGCAGTGCAGAAATATTTCAATACTTAATATTTTAATTAAAAACAACAGAAAACTTGAAAAAAGAAGACCAAACTGTTGTTTGTAAGTCCGTACATTTCTCTGTCACAAAGTCTGTGAGAAAACTTCATAAAAAAAACTGAGAAAACTGAACAAGATGAAAAATATGGTCCAAAAAGAATAGAAAGATATCTAAGCAGGACCTGGAGAGATTAAATTAAATTTTATTTGAGACACCAAGTATACAACAAAATGAATTAAAAATTAAACATGGATTTTGCAACATATGTCCTCTTTAAAACACTTTAATGAGTAAAATTCCTGTGTTTGTTTTGTATTTTTTCCTGTAAAAATACAAAACAAACATAATATATAACATAAAATTAACGTATGTAAATTGTAGATGAACAGATTGCAATGATCTGCAAATCTCATAAATTCATGCTTTGGTCATGGTGGAACCCAGTAAACTGGAAAAGTCTGAGAAAATAAACCAGTTGTTCCACATGTTTCACTCTCCTCTGCTTTAACACCAGTCAGGATCTGAGGAGAGCAGTTCTGGAGGTTTTGGAGCGACTGTTGTCCCACTCTGGTCTGATGAAGGAATCTAACTTTTCATCAGATCTGGATCTTTGCTGGATCATTTTTATTTCATGAAATACCAAACATGTTCAGTTGTTGAAGGGTCTGGACTGCACACAGGTCAGTTCAGCACCTTTTATGCAGTCGTGTTGTAATAGAAGCAGTCTGTGGTTTAACATTGTCTTGCTGAAATATGCAACACTTTCCCTGAAAAAAGACACATCTGGATCTGGATGGGGGCATACTGTATGTTGTTCTAAAACCTGTAGATAGTTTCCTGCACAAATAGAATCTTTTAAACTCCATTTTCATCAGAGAGGCCAGGTTTCAAACTGTGTGCTGAAAGCAATTTGATTTGATTTAGTTTATCCACTTTGCCTCAGTCCATTTTAAAGGATCTTTGCTTCAAAGAAGACCGTGGAGGTTCTGGAYGGTGTTCACACATCTTCTCTGTGTGATAGAGCTTTAAGCAGCATTAGTGGATGACACAGTGAAGTGTGTTTGCAGTGTGTGGAAGTGTTCGAGTCCTTAAGTGATGTCCAGAACTGAACCAGACCTGGTTTTAATGCAGAGGCCCCTGAGGGCCCCATGATCATGACCATCAAATCAGAGATTTTCACRGATTATAAGAATCTGTTGATGAAATTATTGCCATCTTTACTTTTGAGAGATTAAGCCACTCTAAAATTTTCTTTTTATACCCAGTCCTCTCGCTGCACTGACACATTAAAGGGTCAACATTACTATACCATAATAAAGTATCTATTTATTTAAATACTATACCATGATAAAGTATCTATTTATTTAAATACTATACCATGATAAAGTATCTATATATTTAAATACTATACCATAATAAAGTATCTACGTCA